CCCCGGGCCTGTTCTCCCCCTCCTGATCTCCCCCCACCACAGGAACCTTTTTGTTTCCTTCCAGAGGACAGGCTGTAGGATAGCTCTCCCCTGTGGGCTTGCTGACCCCAGTGGCCATTCTCATTTTGCATCCCTTTGAACAGCCCCTCCCTTTGCTTGTTATGGAAAACAGTCCTTTTCCTAGGACTTCCAGTTGTCCTGACACAGCCAAATCCTGACCTTGCTTTATGTTAGAAGAAGAGGAAACTGCCTCCCAAATTTGGTGGCCTTAGCTCTCTCTGTTTAGGAGGAGTTCTTGAAGAAACAGACTTGCACACAGAAACACAGACAGACAGATGCACTCTAAAATATATAGTCTGTGTACTGTTAGTATAGGCCCTGTGTCAATTTCAGTTACGGAATGTCCATACTCAAAGCACCTTTGTCTTTCTAGAAACATACAGCAAAAAATTCTGATGTGGGCTCTGTGAGCTACTGTAATGTAAATACTATTAATTGTCTAATGTTAACATGCATCTTACTTCCTCCTATGTCCAGTAATATCAAGTCTCCCCACTCTCCTTTTTATTTTGCCTGCATTTTTACAAAGGTGGGGGATTTATCTGGTTGCATCTGTGTGTGGTGTATGAGAGAAGGAACAGAAATATCACACAAGCAGCTAGAGAAGAGCAAAGAAAAAGCAGAGAAAGAGAGCAAGAGAACTTTTGGATAAAGCGCTGGTTGAAAGAGGCTTGGGACTCTGAGCAGACTCAATTTCCTGTTTGATATTGCAGTCAGAGAAACAGGATTTTCTACCTTCTCTGTAGGCAAACTAGGTTGCACCAAATACCTGATTCCATCATCAATTTCTCTTCTTAAGCTGACTTCTAAAAATTGGTTAACTGCTTATGTCAAAAGGAGTAAAAACAGATAGCGTGAGCATGTTACAGAATCTCCTGAGAGTGTGTCACATTTAGAGATCACTTTGGCAAACCCTCTTGAAAGGTTATAATGATCAATGGACATCTGCTTTGAAAATAGATCTGCTTTTCTGGGTGAGTTTTGTATTTCATTTTAGCATTAATCACTCCCCTCCCTCATAACTTTAAGAGTTCAAGGCAAGAATGTTTTAAAAAGAGTCAGGTTTGAGGAGTGGGGGGTTGGGAAGAGCTTTCTTGAGGATAATCACCAATAGGTCATTAAGGCTGCTTGTGCTGACAGAACAGTCCCAAGAATCTGACCCTTTATTATTATCCTGTACGTGAGATTGAAAGCATCTTCTTTAGCAAACATAAGCATCAGCCTTATTGTTCCATCATGCTTATGTTTAAACAGAGGGGGAGACTTTTTGTGAATTGATTTTATGTAGTCTGTTTAAAATTAGCATGTAACTGTGTGGCTGTCTAAACCAAAATAATCACTTCTTGCTCTGTCCTTAAACTATTCTTTCTCCTTCCTTCTGCCTTCCCCAACCTTTAGTGGAAAAGCAGCTATTTGAATACATTGCCTTATTACTGGCTGACACATCTCTTTCAGCAGCTTGTTCACCATCCACACAGACACAACAAAGTAAAAACAGAACAGCTATTTTGCCATTTTTCATCATTGACAACATTGCTAAACCTTCCGTGAAAGCGCTGTCTTTGGAAGAACAGGTGCCCGACAGAAACTGCTCCTGACTGAAATGAGCAGAATTGCTTTTTCCGTTCTGTGGACTTTTATTAGGACAAAAATTCAATTTCTAGACATTTGTCCAGGCACCTTTCATAGACCTTCCACTGCTCAGTGGCCATGAAGAATTCTTCAGTGTGTGGATAAAACAATACATGTGATTGACAACTACCCATAAGCCTTCCTGTTTAATTTAGGATTCACAGTGCTGGATATATGATTACTCTGTGAGCTGTTGGTGAAAATTGTACTTGCAAAATTAAGGTCTTATGTGACTCTAATGTATAACAATGTCTTGGGTTCCTACAACATCAGATGTTCCCTGTGTGAGCCCAGGAAGATGAATAGAATTAATATGTGTACGTCACCCTACGCTTTGAGCATGCAAATGAATTTCCTGCTCCTCAGGAATGCAAGCATGATCTATTGAGAGAACAGAATCAGACTGAAATTAGAAGCTAGAGCCTTGTGTAGCAAACTTGTAGAATGTGCTTGTGACTTTATAATTGTAAATTATAATGATGAAGAAATATGTTGAATATTTTAAGAACTATTTCCTCCAAAAATACACTGCACGAAATTGATCCTTGGCCTAATGCTGTATAATCCATATGGTCATAATTTTTAATCACTTCACAAATAGGATCAGCATTGGTAGGCAGGAACATACTTACTATTATCTACTGCATGTTACTGTTTTCTGTGAGGATTTTTCTCATCTTCATATTTATTTACCCCATCCAATAGTTACATAGTTCAAAGAATAGATTTCTTCTGAAGAGAATTTGAATTATACTTTGTCTCAAAGCTTGATTTCATGTATGCAACATTGAACCACAAGACACCAGTTTTATAAGGTGGTATTTTGGGGAAATCTGTGCTTCTCCTTGTTCCTGCATAGTAGACAGGTTCTATCAATCTCTGTCATCTTGGCGTGGGTAGGAATGGTTCAATCCAACCTTGACTTCAGGCGCTATCCTCCCTGTTTTTTATCTTCTCATCTTCATTGTAATTGTAGATTTTAATTAATAGTTCAGACTTTAGAAAATGAAGCATATTCCATGCCAGACTTTTGCCATTATTATACATTGATTACATCCTTGCTCTAGGAATTTGTTTTCCATATGAATTTAGAATTGGGTTTGTTTAGTTTAGAAAAGAGAAGACTCAGAGGGGAACATGATAGCAGCTTTCAAATATCTAAAAGGGTGTCACAAGGAAGAGGGATACAAATTATTCTCCTTACCTTTGATGATAGAACAAGAAGCGATGGGCTTAAATTGCAGCAAGGGAGGTTTAAGATGGACATTAGGAAAAACTTCCTAACTGCCAGGATGGTTAAACATTGGAATAAATTGCCTAGGGAGGTTGTGGAATCTCCATCATTAGAGATATTTAAGAACAGGTTAGACAAATTTCTACTAGGGGTGATCTAGGTGGTGCTTGGTGCTGCTGTACAGGTGGAAGGCTGGATTTGATGACCCCTCAAGGTCCCTTCCAGTTCTAGTATTCTGTGATTCTAGAAGGGGCAATCTAGAATTAGGTTGTGCTTTAAAAACCTAGCATGACCACCCTGACCTTGAGATATTGAATACCCACTTCTCCCATTGGGACTTTCTTATGTTCTGTCTTTTGTATGGGGAGTTGTGCAATGCAGTTTTGGTCCATGGTCAGAGCTCCTATGAGCCTCTTTCAAGTTGTGTATCACCCTAAACTCCCATTAATTTCCAATTTAACACAATAAAAAACTGACAGCTGTGGGAAATGAAGGCAGTCAGACACATGTAGAAGGCTTTTACCAAAGAGAATGTGGCCCTCTATCAGGAATCTAGTAGAAATGTTC